TTCTCTATAACCTTGAGAAAAAGACCACATTTAAATTGAAATCAACCTTCCAAGAAGACACCTGGTGTATTTTAGGTACCTCATCATCTTAAATGATTCATTGCATTTTTAAGGTAATAAAAAAGTGGTGCGTTATCTACAATTGTCTCACCTTTCCCCTCCCAGGGCTTTCAACAGACAACATTACAAATTAAATCAACTGGGAAGCTGCCTGCCTAGTCATGATCTACACAGGGATTTCCCAGCCACCATCAGCACACTGCAATTGCACAGACAACCTTTCAACATCAGTCTACTGCACCCAAACAGTTGTACCAAGGGAAGGGTAGATGAATGTAATAGAGAAACAAGTTCTGAAAGGGCTTAAACAACTTCATCCTTTGTCAGTGAATGAAGTAAAGTGTTATGAAACTGTAAAGCACCAAAGTTAGCACTTTTAATTGATTAGAATTTGGGCTGCTGAACACTACAGTTTTGAAAGTGCCACCGAAGACATAGATATGAAGAGGTACGTAAACACTTGCAGAAGAAAACTAGTGGCATTTTCTAAGTTAATCGGATACCTTTAACAGTCCTGTTACTGTTTCTGTAGTGTCTCAATGTATTTGTAAAACATGATGAGTGCATTTAAAAACATTACTTAAAACCTTATTTGCGTATCCTCAGTAACACCTGGTGTTTCTTTTTAACTGTACATACATTACACCTGTATCAGTTGTATGCTCATATGATTGCTATTTTGTATGGCTGTAATTCCTACCGTCCCACTCTTTCAAATTACATTTGAACTCTTGCAAAACTATCAATCCTCCACTTCCACCTTCCTGTAAGAGACTTTCCTCTCTTACACACAAAGAAAATAAAAAAACCTACACCAATATAAAATGCTACAATTTAACTTGTTTGAACTTAGACATTTTAATGGCCTGAAAAACCTACCCCTAAAGCAGAAGCTCAAATGCAACTGAAAGTGATGCATCCACATGCATTCTCTAACTTGCCTCAAAGCTGCCTAGTGAAACACCTGACACCTAATTGGATGACAATGCTAATTACTGCAGAGTATCCAGAGTCTGTCACTGCTAACCAAAGCAGGGGGAAAAGAAGGAAAAGCTAACTGGTACTTCTCTTTCTCTTGCAGTCTCTAGCAGACTACCTATTTCCTGTGTCTGCCCTCTGCCTAAAAGTTCAGTATCTCTACATACATTCTTTGAGTTCTCCACCTCTCCAGCTTATAATATTAATACTATTGTTCTTTCACGAGACCACGCGGCTCAGAGCCCCATCCAACCTGTCCTTGAACACTTCCAGGGATGGGGTATCCACAGCCACTCTGGGCAACCTGCTCCAGTGCCTCACTACCCTTCGCAGTAAAGAATTTTTCCCTAATACTAATCTAAACGTACTCCAGTTTGAAGCCATTCCTCCTTGTCCTGTCTCTACATGCCCTTGGAAAGAGTCTCTCTCCTTCCTTCTTTTAGACTCCTCTCAGGTACTGCAAAGACACAATTGGTCACCCTGAAACCTTCTCTTCACCAGGCTGAACAATCCCAATTCTCTCAGCCTCTCCTCACAGGAGAGGTGCTCCATCCTGCTAATCATGCTGGTGGCCCTCCTCTGGGCTCACAGGTGAAAATGTTGAGCCTTATTAAAGCACACAATTTACAATTTTGAGAATATGCTGTCAGGAAAAAAAGGATTTTTTAAAATGGAAAATGAATTCATTTTGACAGAATTTAGATTTCTGCAGGCTGGCCAGTTTATGAATGAATTTGCAAGCTTCAGAAAACACCTCACAGCTTAAAGGAAATCACTGAGCTAATGAGCACAAATTATCTACATAAGATCAGATCCATACCTGCTATGTGACAAACTGGATTGGCTTTTCCATTTCTTTCCAGCGTGAGGTTTGTCAAACAGCGCAGCCCCTTTGTGCACTGCAGTAAGTGATTAATATTGCTTACACAGTTGCTGTGAAGGTCAATGTGGCTAATCTTATGTCTGGTTCCATGAAGGGAACGAAATCCTGGAAATTTCAGGAAAAAAAACCCCAAACAACCACAAAGTCATGTTTTCTACTACAGTCCTAGACTATGAGGTTTAAAACAAACAGGATTGTGTTGAAAAATATTCAGTAAATAATATATCATAACTAGAAATGAGAGAACTACGCTTGCTCCATATTCCTTCTCCACATGTTAATAACCTATGCTACTCTACCACAGAGTACAACACTTAAACTACTTATGTGAGCTAACTTTAAAGAAACAGATTTATCTCTGACTGTTAAAAAGCATGTAAAAATAAACCTTTTCCTTCAAGTTTCATTTTATAACACAAGGTCAATAACAAAATTGTTACCAATGTTCTTTTGATTTTCCATTACAAGTTCTCTTGATTTTGTAGAATGAAATCCTAAGAACAACTCACCATTTCAACAGAGATATATAAGAAAACTTCCATATCATATGGAAAGTTGCATTTTCGTTCTATAAAATTGAAAGATATGAATATTTTGGAACTAAGTCTGAAATGTTTACTACTTTCTGAACAAGCTTGGCCTCACCAAACACAGAAGAATAAATTCCAGTTCAGAGCAATCTTTGGTGTTAAAAACTTTAAAGCTGAGAAGAGCAGCAATTGCCACCTGTATAGTATTATTCAGTGAACTGGCACTTGAAGTACTAGAAACTTCTCAAAATACACTTGGTCAAGTGTTTCAAAATTAAAGTGAGACAAATGCTTTGTATTGCACAGCACATGGCAACATCACTTACCAGAGAGATCATGTATGCGATTATATGACAAGTTCAGCATAGTTAAATTAAAGAGTTTTTCCAATCCTAAAAAAAATGAGGGGAAAAATAGAAACAGGAACATTTTCAGAAAAATGCACTGTTTTCATCAAATTCAAGACTTGCAAAGTGAACCTTTAAAGATCGTAACTACAAGTTATGACATTAATCTATAATCATAGTACACAAAAAACAGGTTTTAATTCTAAGTAAAGGCATTTTGCTATGATAAGGCTTACGAAGACTACACATACTCATCTTAAAATTCACTTTATAAAATGGCTAGCATACTAACTCGGTATAACCTTAATTGTAAGCAAACATTCCAGAAGTAAACCTTAATGCAACTCTTAGAAAAACCTTCGTAACTTGCTAAATGGACAGAAATGAACACTGCAGACCCTCCACTTTGGTTAGCAGGTTGCAGGACAAGCTCAGGGTGCGCAGCTTAGCCAGGGAACCGAGCCCCTCGATGCGGCGGATCTGGTTTGATGACAGATCCAAGTGCTGCAGATTGCGGAGGTGGTCGAGCCCTTGGATCCTGGCGATGAGGTTACAGTGGGCGTTGAGCGTGTGCAGGTCCGAGCTCAGGGACACATCCCTCAGGCTGCGGAGAGAGGAGCCCACCGTCAGCCGGCAGCTCGGCCCTGCGCCGCGGCCTCCCCTCTCCCGGCCCCTCCGCGCTCACCTCTTAACGCCCTTATCCATGAGGCTGAGCTCGCCGGGGATCCCTGCCATGCCGCCGGGCCCCCGCGCTGACTGCATCTCGCTTCGATGCTCCCTCGTCTCCCACGGCAGCGCTGCCCGCCTTAGGCCGGGACAAAACGCCTCACGGCCCCGCCTCACAGCCCCGCCGCCGCCGCGTCCGCTCCCGCCGCGGGCAGGCGCGGCCGCGGGGAGGCGGCGCTGCCGGATCCCGCGGGGCAGCGGAGGACGAGCTCCGTGCTCCCACTGCGCTCCCTGCTGCTCTCCTGCCACTCTCCTGCCGCTTCCTGCCATGGGCCCAGGAAGGGGTCGGGTTTAGAGACCGGACTGCTTTGTTTTCTTCTCGAAGGGACACGGAGGGGGCATTGGTGTTTTTAAGCGCTTAAGAGTGTCACAGAATCACAGAACATCCTGAGATGGAAGAAACGCACAGGGGTCATCGGCGGCCATCGCCAGGAGTCACACCGTGTGCCTGAGAGCAACTCTCAGGCCTGGAACTGTGGCCACCTGCCTGGGGAGCCTGGTCCCGTGCCCAGCCACCAAAGGATAATGTCAGTGAGGTTTTCTGAGATTAGGCAGCTTTGTCAGGAATTAAAAAAATCCTTATTAAGATGCTGTTTGGGAGATTCTGTGAATGCTTTTCTTGTACTAGAAATCATACGCTAGGATGATCAGTGAAAAAAGTTGCATCTCTACTTTAGGATTCCATTGAGTGTCACATTGATTTGTTCTAAGATAGTGATCCAAATCCAGCTGTACATGGCAGAATAACAGAGTTGGAAGATTGCTGGAAATCACATAATATGTGTGCATTCACAAAGAAGGAGACTCAGAAAATAAAAAAGAAATTACTTATTTTAACCATGTAAAACATATGCTATGCTGAATTTTGCAATGATGAATACTAGATTATTAATATTTTAATTATGAATTTTAATCATGCATGGTAAATGCATACCTAAATACATACAATTTATGAAATCAATAAATGCAATTTAAAATGTATGCAAGTTTTAGTAAGTAGAGATGTGCATCTTGTAGAACGACAGTTTTTGTAGTCTGTGTGAAAAATGCATGTATTATATGATTGGCTTTTCACAAATATTAAAATGAATGTTATATGTGTTGTGTTAGAAAGAAATGCTGTATTAATTCTCTTAAGTACTGTGTTAAATATAGTTTTAGGTTATAAAAAGTGTTAAAATAAGAACTATGCTAGTGGGGTTGTTTCTAAAGAAAGGAATGAGGCACTCGCACCAAATAGCAGCCACAGGACACCTAAATCTTTCAGGGAAAAGAATTTATTGCTTTCTTATCAGAAGAAACTAACTTCTTCCTGCCGTGAAGGCGCTGTTAGGATTAGAAGGAAGAAGTTGACAATGACCAGACAAAATCCAGTGTTTGAATGGAATTTATGCATCATGTATGAAGTGTATGAATATGCAACAGGCTATTGTTCTTAAGGGTTAATCCTTTGTTAGCAGGGGTCCTTTTTCAGGCTCATGATGCCCAGAAAAAGGTACCCAGACATCCGTAACTCTTTGTCTTTTGTCTCATATTGTCTTAATTCAATTTGTTCAAATTGTTATTGCTCTAATTGTGTTACTATTTTTTAACTATTTAATTACTGTTAAACTTTAAAAACTTTGAAAAACAAGTGATTGGCGTTTTTCACAGTCTGTAAGATGAAAGTAGTTGGAGAGTACTGCAGGGATTTGGAGAAAATTGAAGAATTTTCTTATGGTTAGAGGCTGCTCTGGGGCTGTAGATTCTGTCACTGACCATGCTGCAGAGCTTCTTTGTGGTGAAGGAAACTCACTTTAGGTCATTGAAACAATTACAAGAACAGTCTCTGCACATGCCTGTTTTATCCATAGGATTCTTACATGATGGCATATTATATAAACTAATTTTCAGATGAATTTAATTTGTATTTGAGTGGAAATCCTGCTGTTCAAGACTGGTGTGAACCACTGTGTCTTTCAAGTTGGCCCCTGTAAAAGCATGAGTTTTGTTCACTGCACTGCTGAGCTTTGACCTGCAGGAGAAAACTGGTTCTGCCACTTTACTGACAGAAAGTAAAAACTTTGCAGTTATGAGTTTGGGCACTTACACAACCCTTAGGGTTCATGCTGAGCTTCTTTTCAGTTAGTTTTCTTTCTGCCCATTTTTCTCTGCATCTTTAAAAAAAAATACATTTTGGTACAAAAGTAATTTGTTTATGGCATCTTCATATCTGATTGAAGAGAAGCTCCTAACACAAAATATGCAACAGATAAGTATGTAGAAAAATCAGCAGCCACACCTTAAAAGACACATGCCACACCAGTGGGAACTTCCAACCTTCTTCCTTCTGTTCCACAGCTCCCATGCAGAAATGAAAATTATGATACAGCTTCTTTCCTTCCCTCACAGCAGTGTCTGAAGATTAATGCCATCTTAGGACATGTTTGAGTACTAGTCTATCAGTGTGTGCTCAGAAAAAAACTGGGAATAAAACTGGTAATTTTCTTTCTAGGGCAATGTTTAATGAGTGAAGCATAAACAAGCTCCAATATACCCAGTGACTGATGAGATTTTGGCAAAGCATACTGGTGATTATTGGTTATCACTGTCCTTTTTCTGAGTAGATGGTGGAAAAATAGTGGCAGGCTGTTCATCTAACATCCATGTCACTGTCAATAATATGTGGAAGGTTGATTTCTTTCCTCATGTTGCCATATCCTTCCTCTTTCCCTAAGGTTGATGTAGAAGTCACTTTTACTCACCTCTGTGGTTGTCTCTGAAGATGTACATTAAACAAAATGAAATCTGTTGATGAAAATCATCTGAGAAATGAGCATTTGCCATGCATTAATTTTAATGTTGTTTTCTTTAAAAATACCTGCAGGCCTTATAATTTCTGAAGTACATATTAAACCAACATGTACATGATTTGCCAGTGTTTCTTGAAGTATTTGGTTAATTATCTTCACACAGGAGACATCAAACCCAAAGTATGCTTTCTTTTCTGAATGATTAAGCCAAGCTTCCCATAACATTTCACTAGCAAGCAGGGCTATGACAGACTGCTAACAACAAAGTGAAATCTGCTGTGAAAAAAACCCACAAAAAAATGGGAAAAGAAGAAAACAATGACCCCAAAGATGTGCAAAGAAAAGGAAAAGCCAAGATGCAACTCAAAAGAAATATAGGTTATTTTGATGGGGTAAGTTTTATTATAGGATCAATTGTTGGAGCTGGGATCTTCGTGTCTCCCACAGGGGTGTTAAAACATTCCTTACTCAATGTTGGCGTTGCATTAACGATCTGGACTGCGTCTGGGCTGGTTTCTCTGATGGGTGCCCTCTGCTATGCGGAGCTGGGAACTGCTCTGCCCTTCTCCGGAGGAGAGTACAGCCACATTAAAAGAGGCCTTGGATCCCTACCCGCCTTCGTGTTTATCTGGACAGCAACATTCACCAAGCCAGCATCAAATGCTGCTCGAGCCTTGCTCTTTGCTGAATATGCCACACAGCCATTCTATGGCATTTGTCCTGCACCAGACGTGCTGAAGAAGTGCTTGGCCTTGGCCGTTCTCTGGTCCCTGGGGATTTTAAATGGCCTCAGCGTCAAAATGTCTGCGTGGGTGCAGACAGTTTTCACTCTGCTGAAGATGATGGCCTTGTCTGTGATTGCTGTTGGTGGCATAGTTCTCCTCGTTACCAGGCAAAAGGAGAGTCTGGCCAGGTTTGAGGACATGTTCAGCTCAGAGATCCCCAACGCCTCACAGATTGCCGAAGCCTTCTTCCAGGGGCTGTACGCGTACGGCGGCTGGTGGTCCCTCAACTACATGGCAGGTATTCTGCTCCTCTTCTTTAGATTTAGTCCTGCAGTTCTCATTCTTGTGTTCCTTAGCTTGTTTTGGGAGAACTTGTCTCTGCTTCAAGACCACAGGGTCCTTCTCATTTTACGTTTTTGTAAGTGTTTGTTTGGGCTGGTAGAAGAGGCGTTGTTCCTCTCCAGGGAAAATTCCTGCTTTTGTGCAGAATGAAGCTGACATTTTCAAGAAAGTACAAGAGAAATCATAATTGTTAATTTTTTTTTTCATACATTAAATATTTGCATTTTGTCTTTCTCAGTGTCCATGTCAGTGTATTTTTAGGAAAGTATCAAGTTATCCATGCCAAACTACCTGTGCATAGGTAATTTCTGTTTAAATATCTGTGCCTTATCTGAGGTTATGCAGCTGGTTTGAACATGGTCAAATTAATTTTGAGTTTTGTTAGAATGTAGTAATTTTATGGGATATATTTTCCTGGGAAAATAGACTTTTGAAGTCCAGTAGAGGGTAAAGAGAGGTCTGTGGAAGGTGGCATAGATTTTTTTTCATAGAATTTGTACTCCATTCTAAAATTCAAAAGGTTTTTGAATATCTGTTTACTTCCCTATTCTGTATCTGCTGACATATGGCAGTAATAAACTTTCGTTGAAGCTACAGAGATGATGTTCATTATGTTAGGTGTTCACATCACAAGTTAAATCAATAGAGTTTTACAGTATCATCAGGTTCATGGAATTATATTGTAAGCAAGCGGATATTGCTGTTATATCTTTAACCATTTGTATCCATTGACCTCTGTCATGTAAAATATTAAATAAATGGAATGTGTTAAATGCATACCACAAAGTTCAGTGGTGAGGATAGTGTGAAAATTTGGTTAATGTTTAAAAACCTGACTGTTGTCTTTATAATCCAGGTACTCCAGCTTTAAAAATAGGCTGCAGTTAAAAATATATATATATATGTAAAAATCAGTAAAGTGTGGTTTTGAAACCTTAGGTATTCCTTAAAGACAAGTACTTGGCTTTGTAAGCCTGAGAAAATGCAAGACTTCTGGTAAGATACAGATTTATTCTGATCAGTTAGCAGTACTAATAAATGCCATACACTGGGCAGCACAGCTGTTTAGACAAATGTAACATATGCAATTGTTTCAAACTGACCTGAGTTTCCTATGCTTCAACAATACCTTCATTTCTGTGAGCTTCAACTGATGCATCAGGTGTCAGCTGGCTGTCAAGACTGCAATAAATAACAAAACAAATGGAAAGATAAATTTAAATTGGAAATTTTGGTGATTATTCTCTTCTGAGCTCAAAATTACTAAGTGTATTTTTTATATCTGAAATAAATCCCAAATTTTCTGATAGTATCGGAATTTCACTATTCAGATGGTCCTTCAGTCTTGTCTCCATCCACTACAGCCAGCACAGGGATCATGGCTCAAGGCTGATGTCCTGAGCAGAAGATAGAAATCAAATGTAAAGCAGGAAGCAGATTTCTGTCTCCTAAAAAGAGTTTAAGTAAGCTGCACATTTCACTTTTCACTTCTTCCCTCTTATCAGTTATTTGCTGGTAATACTCAGGAACTTGTCTGTAAATGCTGAGGGAAGTGGGAAGTGGTGAGGGAACAAGAGGAAGGAGTGAAAGAAATTTAAACAAACCTTTCTGACTGAGATAAGGGTGATTGAGATTAAGCTTCTGGAAACCACCTCCATCTTTTGCTGGGACTGTGACATGCCCAAGAATGTGTGCCTGTGTCTGAGTTATACACCTGCCAAATTTGGCTTTTTTCTTGTTTGGTAAGACTAGTTCTAACCTATCAGGCTTAGCACTAAACAGTTTTCCTCCACCGTCTTTGCCCTGGAAAAGATGATAATAATCAAAATCCATCTGGGAATGGCCCCCTTTTAAAGCCACTGCATTACTGCTCTTATGTCTATACCTTTGTTTTTTTCTGTTACTTCTGATATAAAAGCAAAGAGAAAGGTTTTGAGTAGAAATATGCAAATATGCTCACTAAGTTTAAGATCAGGATTCATGAGGTGACATGAGAATAAATAATGTGACTTAAGAGTCTCATGTTTAAGCTAGTGATTTTCAGGTAAGGCTACTTGAAAATTTTCTACCAAATCACTTTTCTAATGCAAGTCAAATATGTGATTAATCAAATCAAAGGGAAATTATCACTCATTTTTATCACTTTGTGAATCAATCGGCTCTTCATCCAGCCCTCCTTCCAAAATAGTTAAAAATAGCTAAGTAAAACAATATTGTTTAAGAATCTTTGATATTAACCTGTTTGAGAACCACTGTAGGACTTCACAAGCAGAGAATTTAGCAGCCATGATTAGGGATTGGGGCAGGATTTTGGCATCAGTTTGTCAAACTGCACAGCTTCACCACTGAAAAACTCTTGCAGAAGCTACACTGCTTGCTTCATTTGTTATTTTAAATTGTATTTTTCAGAGGAGATGAAACGCCCCAGCAGAAATATCCCCTTAACTGTGATGACTGCTGTTCCTGCAGTAATTGTTTTTTATTTACTAGTGAACATCTCATATCTGACTGTCCTCACACCCAAGGAAATTGTCTCCTCAGGTATGTATTTCATTTTTTTTAATGAAAAAGAACTGGCCCATTGACATATCCATCTGATGTGTCAATGCCCTGGGTTACTTCTGCTCACCTAACTTCCCAGTCCAGAAATTTGGGTTCATTTTCCTTTAACAGAGAATTCTTCTTTAATTTTAGTGTATGACACAAATTGGATGAATGCAGGCAGATTGTTGAAATTGTTGGCTTTGTCCTACACTGTCTAAAAAGAAATCAGAAGTGTATTAAAACCTGGAAAATAAGGTGAAAGTCAGGTCCCAAGTATAGAGATGATCTTTGTTTTCCTTTGTTTTATAAAGAGATAGTTTTAATCCTATCTCTTCCTTCTTTCTCTATCTCATTGAGTCTCAGACTAAAGCCATCACTCTTGAGGAGGTGGACAAGTCTAACATGTTCAAGAGTATAGAAAAGACTATGGACATAAAAATGTAGCCATTTTGGGTGTGTATTATTCATGATAAATACTGTGACTTCTCAGAAGAGTCTATACAAAATCCAGTGTGTATAAACCCCTTCTCAGATCCCGTATGAATAAACTGGCCATGTAAGGCTCCAAAGGGAACAGTATATCTCCTTGACTGTCCAAGCAGCACATTTTAAATCCCACTGTAATGACACTGAGTTGTCAGACCTTGCCTACAGGCCTGACAAAAACCATACCTCATTTGAATGGATCAATCTTTTTTTTTTTCCTATGATAAAAGCTCACTAATATAAATGAGAACAGTGTACCAGTCACTCAGTAACCTCATATTGTCGCTCAGCCACTGTCAGGCTGTCTGCTGGGAGAGGTGGATCATTTGTATGTTACAATGAAGGAGGCAGCAAACACCAGACTATCCATGAACTGCAGCTGCCAGCTGGCATGACCAGCTTCATGCATACCAGGGGAACTGTGTTTACCTATGCCAGCTCAGAAGATAACCTTAAAATTATAGCACTTTTTTAAACATTTCTTGTTCCTTCACTATTTTTTTTGTTTGTTTTTTTGTTTTTTGGTTTTTGTTTGGGGGCACTGTTTTCTCCATCTCTAACTACTTCCTACACTGCAGAGGACACTGCAAGACCTATGTTCCTCATGGCATTTGATTATAGACCCACTAAATATTGTTCTCACTACAATATCAGCTGTAGCTAATCTCCAAGCAATATTGAATATCTCTTGTTTAGAAACAATCTTTCACATTTCCCAGTTCCACCCAAAGCAAAATCTCATTAATAGCACATTTGTTGACTCATCTCTCACTGTAGATGTGCTCTTGTTGGCAGTTTCATGTAACTGCAGATTGTGTTAGCACCATGGTTATGCCAGGGACCAAGGAGTTAATTTTCTTTCCTTGCCCAGGTGTCTGTGCTTGTGATGAAGGATGTGAGATGTGACTCACTCCTGCTGGGCAGTCCATGACTGTGGTATTGGCGCCAGCAGGTTTCCCTGGCTTGTTCTGGCAGGCAGCACTCCTTGCTGTCATCCTCCCAGGAAATATTTAGTTCCTGAATTAAATACCTTTAGGATTGGATTAGTGTTTGACTACTGCTATGAAAAAGCAGGCATTGCTGGTAAATAATAAGTGCTTCTTGTTGTGGTGGTTTGACCAGGAAGGAGTGGGAATTCTGGAATGCTGTGGTCAAACCAATGGATGTTCTGAGTTTCATACTGACACCTGGTGTAGCCAGTGAAGTTTGGACACACCTCCGAGAATACACAGGGGTTAAAAAGCAGGGCACTGCCC